CCCGCACCTGGAGCACCCATCCCCTCTGCCTGTCCCGGGACTCCCGCACCCGAGCACCTGTCCCCCTGCCTGTCCTGGGACTCCCGCACCCGCCACCTGCCCTGGGCTAACGGGCAGTGCCTCTAGACCCCCGGGACGCAGTGTGGGACACAAGCTGAATCTTAGCCGCGAGCTGATGAGTGAGGCCTGTGGCAGACAGAGGGAGGCAGACCCTCCCGGACGGGCGCCCTCCTACCAGCGTTCGCCTCGATGGCGGCCCGCAGGTCCCTCCTTTCCTTCCGGAGCTGGGCCAGCCTGGTCCGCAGGGCTTCCTTCCGCCGCAGCAGCTCCTCTTCCTTGGTCTGCAGCCGCCTGGCATCTGCTTCCACCCTGTTCTTGCCGTATCTGTACTGGTCAGCATCTGAAAGACGCGGGGAAAGCAGTTAGCCTGCAGACACGAGGGAACTTCCCAGAGCCCTCGGTCAGCCCGCTCGCTCGGTCAACTCAGAGCTGGCTCCCTGGAATCCGACAGAAGAGAATGGGCCGGTCTGAACCAGCTGATTACCCAGGATTCTTGGGAACAACGTTCTACGTGAAAAGAGAGTATTAAGAAATCCCTCTAATTCTCTTCCCTTCCCGCCGGCACCTCGCCACAGTGCACATCCCACATCTGCAGGGAGGAGGCCATCAGCGTCACATGCAATCCTGGCTGTGGCCAGTGCCCGTAGGTTTGAACTTCTCCCCCAGCCCATCACAGCTGGCCCACAGCCTTGTCCAGCGCTTTGCTGACCCAGCAGCAGCTACGCACCGGCACGGACTGAACACGCAATAGCATCAGTGGGTGAACGAACGGACAATGAGAAAAGGAAGCGGCAACACAGGGCGGGGTCTGGGTCCCGACTGTTAGGTCTAAATCCCAGCTTGTCACCTGTAGCTGTGTGACCTTGAACAAAGTACTTAATCGCTCTGTGCCTCAGTGTCCTCATCTGTGAAATGGGGGCATTCGGAGGGGGGGATGTGGATTAAGCTAACATTTATAAAGTAATTTAGGAAAGGTCCTTCTGAAAAATACGCTGGAGAGAGGAAGCGGTGATGAAGCTAACGAGACGGACCCAGGGCCACCATGTTCGAAGATTCCACCTGGGCCGGTCCTCCCACTGCTTCTGGCATCGCACCGCCCAGGCCTGACTGCGGCTCAGCGCACCAGGCTCAGCGGCTCCGTCCTCTCGCCACTCGCGCCGCTGCTTGTCTGCTCGATGCCCTCGCTAGACGAGAAAGGGCGTCACAGAGACGCAGAGGGCAGAGCGATGGCCGTGACGCAGGCCGCAGCACGAGGGGCCGTGAAGCCCTCTCAAGCAGGTGCCCAGGCCTCGCGTGGGGGTGGCTTTATAATTTGATCTTTGTATCTAAAGCCCGTCTCACAATGCCTGGGACAAGGTGACGCTCCCGGCAGCTCTAGTCACTGTCAGCGACAACAGAGTCCACAGGGCCCTGTCCACTCACCAACGGGGAGCTGGGCCAGCCTCCCGCCCCAGCGCGCGTGCCCAGCGCTGCGCCACAGCCACAGGGACGGCAGCGGAGCGCCACCGATGGAGGCCCCCGAGGCCGTCCCTCCCCACTCAACATGCACAGAGGACACAACGGCGGCATCAAGTGGCCAAACCGGCCAGCGGACCCCGGAGCACTGCTGTCCGTGGCTCGGGGGCAGGACGTGCTGGGCAGACAGAGCAGAGTCTACACCCCAGTCTCTGATTTCCAACGAAGGCGCTTCCCCAGCCCACACGTTCCCCACCCCCGGTCTGCAGTGAACGCAGCAAAAACACAGAAGGCAATTATTTCTCTCATTTGTCACCATTAGATGTCACCACAGTTAATAAAAGTTCCCTCCAGAAGGCGTCATAAAAGAGAGGAATCAATCACGGGAATGAAACCAGCCGTGACTGACGGGTTCCGTGCCTGGTCTCGCACAAGCTCGGTGCCCTCCCCACGGGACACCAGCAGCATTTTAAGTGACTGCGCACGCCCCTGCGTTAGGGAAGTAAGGTCTGCGAGAGGAGGTCGAAGGTCAGCACATCCCACGAGCTACGGGGAGCAGGCTTTGGCCCGCTGGCTCCCACCTGCCTGCTCTGAGGGTGACTCCCGTGAAGATCACCCGTGTCCCGTGTCCCGGGCAGGAGCAGCCTCCCTGCTGAGCAGCTCGGAGGCGGGTGTGCATGTACGCCCCCCGCCCCCCCGCCCACGTGTACCCCGTGACTCTGAGACCCCTCGCAGTGCACGCGGCAGGTACAGGGCACGAGCTGGAGCGGAGGCCTGATCTGCCAGCTCCACGGGGCCTGAGTCAGAAAACACGGACACTCCCTCCCCTGGAACCCTCCCTGCCAGCCAGGCCCCTGGAGCTCCGGGACCCGCGTCTGCTGTGTGACCCTCTCTCCGGCTCAGGCACCTTGGCAACAACTGCACTGTCTTATCGTCGCAGCTGAAGAAGCCCTGACAGACATGGTGACAGCATAGCCCCGGAGAAAGGGAGGTGCTGTGCTGGGCGGGCATCTCCCTGCCAGCTCGGCAGCCTGCAGCCTGGCACTCTCTGTGGTTGTCACTCCCGGCCGTGAGCCCCAGGGAAGCCGTGCATCGCTCGGAGGTCATTCCGCACGTGGACCAGGGGGCAGGCGACAGCACCTGCCTGCGGGCGGCGGGGGGCCAGGCAGGAGAAAGGGCAAGCGCCTGCGTGGGCCACTCGGACTGTACTCCCTGCCACGTGGACTGTACTCCCTGCCACGCGGACTGTACTCCCTGCCACATGGACTGTACTCCCTGCCACGCGGACTGTACTCCCTGCCACGCGGACTCCGTCCAAGCCCGTCCTTCTCTAGGGCCCTGAGGCCGTGACCACTTGGGCTATTTCATCACGGAAACCACGGCCGCTGCTCGTCCACACCCAGCACGTGGAAGCCCCACTTAGAGGGTAGACGTGACTTCCCCCAAGTCGCTGAGTCACCAACAGGTCAGGGACACACACCAAGGCCCTGACCCAGAGCCCAGGCCCTGCAGCTGCACCTCCAGGTGCCTCCACTGAAATGGGCGTAACCAGCCCTAGAGTCGTGCAGCCAGCCCGGCCTTTCCTGGTGCACAGAGGTCCCGAGGCCGGAGCCTGGCACAGCCCGGCCTTTCCTGGTGCACAGAGGTCCCGAGGCCGGAGCCTGGCACAGCCCGGCCTTTCCTGGTGCACAGGGGTCCCGAGGCCGGAGCCTGGCACAGCCCGGCCTTTCCTGGTGCACAGGGGTCCCGAGGCCGGAGCCTGGCACAGCCCGGCCTTTCCTGGTGCACAGGGGTCCCGAGGCCGGAGCCTGGCACAGCCCGGCCTTTCCTGGTGCACAGGGGTCCCGAGGCCGGAGCCTGGCACAGCCCGGCCTTTCCTGGTGCACAGAGGTCCCGAGGCCGGGTCGGAGGCCGGCACCACCCTCCCGTCGGCAGGCGGGGAAGGATGATGCGGCTACAGGCCCATCTCTCCACGGGTCCCACCCCAGCCCGCTCTACAGCTGCAGAGGAGCCGCGACCACGGACGAGGGTGCACTCACTGGAAGGCGTGCGCCTCACGCCGGCGGCCGGCTCGGCCTTCTTGGGCTGGCTGCTCAGGGTCTTGCCTTTTCCTGCAGCCCCGCTGGATGCGAGGGGGGGCTTTTTACTCTTCAACTGTTGAAATAAACAGAAGGAAGTTAAAACAAACGATCCACAACACCAGTGTTTTTGTTCTGCGGGACACGACTTCCCTCTGTGACCCTGTAAGTAGCATCTAGCACTGACAGAAAAACTCAGGGAGGCAGGAACAACTTGGCTCCCACACCCTGGGAGCTGGGGTGCCCCGGAGGCCGAGGTTCGGGCGTGAGGGACGCAGGGCGCCCTGGGCAGGAAAGCAGAGCTACATGTGCGCTGAGAGCTGTGATGGAGGTGGGCACAGGGGGAGCCGGGCAGCTGGGCTGAGACGCTGGGAGCCTGCGCTTCGGACAGGGGAGGCCACTGCAGCTGGTTTCTCTGCCAGCGCCTCCATGGGGACTGACACCCCACCGGGCACATCACTACGCTTATTCCCCCAGGGTCTCAGGAAGGAAGCGAGAAACGCTTATTCACTACAGGGTCTCAGGAAGGAAGCGAGAAAGGCGGGCGTGACGTAGAAACAGTTAAACTAAATTTTGACCAACACAGGCTTTTAAAAATTCCATAGCATCGCCACTTCTTGGGTGGCTGCAGGCCAGCAGGTGCATTTTCTCAGCGATGGACAGTTCTATGCAGACATGCAGCTGGCGGGAGGGGTGAACGGTGGGTGTCCAGGCCCACGCTCCAAGGTCGTGCCCGCCTCCTGCGCTGTGGGCCGGGCCTAAATTTGGCTCCGTCACTCAGCTGCTGAGCGCGCCACGACCCCTGAGCCCCCACTTAGTAACCACCGGACGTCTGACCACCGCACTCAACGAGGCCTTCAGGCTCACTGGACAGACTCTGGGCAACTGTCGTCAAACATCAGAAGCAAACAGCCAGCTGGTGTGGCTCAGTGGTTGAGTGCTGACCCAGGAACCAAGAGGTCACTGAATAGATTCCTGGTCAGGGCACATGCCCAGGTTGTGGGCTCCATCCCCAGTAGGGAGCATGCAGGGGGCAGCCAATCAATGTTTCTCCCTCCCTCTCTCTCTCTCTCTCTCTCTCTCTCTTCCTCTCTCTCTGAAAATCAATAAAAACATATTTTTTTAAAAAAAATCAGAAGCAAACAAAAGCTGTGCTGTGACACTGGCGAGAGCCTCGGCCGGGAGGACTTCTGAGTGCCACCCGGTCTGACATCCCCAGGGCTTCCCTGGCTCGTCACTGTGTAAGGGTTCCCCCAACACAGGGCACAGGGAGCAACCCCTCACGTGCCCCTCTGCTCTGGGGGCGCTCGCACACACGGGCACTCGCACACACGGGCGCGGGGCTGCATGCAAAGCATGAAAGTCTGAGGCTGACAGAGCAGGAAAACACATCAGTATTTATATGGAAATGCTACCGTTTGCTACAAAGATGAGGTGGGACAGTCTGACAGCAAGGCTATTTCCCATTTAGGAACCGATAATCCCAATCCTCGTCACCTACCTGGGGTCAGGAAGCACTTTTATGCCCATTTGGGAAAAACACCGCAGTGTCCTGAATGAGCCTAGTTTACATTTAAAGGTCAAAAAGCAGCTACTCCTGGGGCCACCTGTGCTGATGTTTAACGGAAACATTAAAAACACTTGCAGCTCAAGAATCCTCTGCCAAGTTTTACCATCCTGGTCCTTTAAGTCTCTGCCTTTAGCAAAATTCCCGGGGAACATCCCGAGGCCGGAAAGAGCCGGTGTGCAGGGAGAGCGGAGCCCACAGCAGGGCCGGGAGGGGTACGGAGGCAGCTCCCCTGCCGACTGCTTTCCCAGGTGAGTCTCGCTCACTACCAGTGGGCATCACTGCAAAACTCGGAGGGGGGCTGTGGCTAGAGGGGGGTCTAGAGGAGGAGGGAACGCGATGCTGTACCTGGGAGCCGAGCCCGAGAGACGCCCTCCCCACAGAAGAGGTGTTAGTGACAGACGGGGCGGGAGGCAGCCCGCAGGACGTGGGCTGCTTGTAATGGTTACAGGACAGGGTGTCGGCAGGCGGCCTAGCAGCCTTCCTGTCAGCAGGCGGGTAGCGCGCAAAGATTTTCGGAGACGGCAAGTTATCGTACAGGGCTGCGTTATCGTACAGCACCTCTCCTCCCGGGCCTCCGCGGCAGGAAGCGGCCGAGCCGCCGTCGGGGTCCCACTGCAACACACACAGCCGCGCGGTTAGTGCCTCGGCCACAAGCAGAGCAGACGTTAGCGCGCGGACGCGGCGTGAGCACCCGCACCCCCGTGCCCGCTGCTGTAAAGCACACACGTTCGCAGGCGAGCTGGCCGCGACCCACTTCCGGGACTTAGGGACAGCCTTCTCCTCCCTTGGGTCGCCCCAGTCGTTGGCTCAGGGAGTGTTTGTTCTGTCTGGTAAAGCAGGAAAAAAAGGGCTGATGTGACATTTCTTTAGATTTCGGAGTCCCCAGGTCCAAAAGCAGAGCCACGTGCTGGCGGGGAAGGAATGCCGACGGGGACACGGGGATGGGGCTCGGGCTCTGCCCAGCACACGTGTGCAGCCCCCAGCGAGCACCTTCTTTTACTTTGCGGTCATTACCGGGTTCTAGACGCTGTCTGGAGCGCGTTACAAACACTGCCTCTAGCTCTCACGGGATCTCAGGAAGCAGGAGGAAACTGAGGCAGAGGCTCCCAAGCCCGGGCGCTGCCTGTGCCCCGCCCCCACCCCCGCCCCCGGGGTTACCGAGCGGCTGGACTTCAGAGCCCGGAGCCAGTGCATCGGTGACGCGTTTATGGGGACTGCCCGCCTGCCCCCTGCCCCCGCTCTGTTAGGGCTGATTAAAGTGCCGCGACCAAAACAGTCTTGAAAAGAAATCCAATCATCACAGAAAACAGGAGGTTTCCAAGTAGAATTGACATAATGGCACTATTTTGACGAAAACCTTTCCCTAAAGGACTAAAACAGCCACAGGCCACTGGAGGGCAGGGACATTAAAGTGCACATTCACCCAGCACTCAGCACGGCCGAGCCTTTTAAGTCTTAAAGGTCTCCAGGAACCGCTCTGCATTCACACACACGGAGAAATGTTAGCTCCTGGATGATGCTTGTTTCAGTCTTTATGTTGTTCTTCACTTCCGCACGGTGATTACAGCCTTTGTTATAAAAATAGGAGCAGGGCCCAGGCCTCACGGCAGGCGTGCTCTCACTCCTCACCGTCGCTGCAGCGGCTATTTTGGTGATGCTGGGACCCAGCTACGAGCTAAAAATAGGGGGACGTGCAGATAAACTCGGACGCGAGCGCCTCAAAATGACAGGCGCGCATGCATTTGTCCAGGGCGATCACAGGGTCTAGACTAGACTAGCATTTCCCTAAAATACCAAGGGACTGAGTCACACGGGTAACTTAGAAACTGCATAGAAGTTTCGAGATTAAAAGTGGGTGTGCTCCCCCGTGTGCGTGTCAGAGACCCTCCCCGAGACTCACTAACACCTGCGTTGGGCCTCAGAGGACCCCGAATGGCTGAGAGTTACTGCAAATGAAACGCCAACAAGTGCGGTTTGGGGTCAAAAGTGCGAACTTCATAAACAGAGAAGAGCAGCCCTCCCCAGAGAGACGGCCTGGTCCCAGCGCCCAGCGGCGGGGAACTGGGCAGGGCAAGGCCGCTGCCAGGACGCCCCGTGAGCCAAAGCACCAGGAGGACTGCACAGGGGACGCGTCCAGCTCCTGCCCACAGGGTCCCAGGACAATCCCTCCCGCAGAGCCTCTGCGCAGGTTCTCAGAGCAGAGGGGCTGCAGACGGAAGGACGGCCTGGAGCAACCTTGTCCCTGTGGGCCTGAGCTGCACCTGGACCAGGACAATGGGACAGACTGGGGGGGGGGTGCCCGTGACTCCCTCACCCCCACCCTCCTCACGCCCCGTGGCAGGTGTGGACTGGGGAAGGGGTGAGGGCCTTGGAGAGAGACTTAGAGGGAGGTGTGGGTTTCCTTTCTGAACGAGCTGCCGGGGTCAGGGCTGGAGACGCAGACCGCTCGCTCCTGGAGGGGACTCTGGCGGCTGCGCGGACAGGGCCAAGGCGGGTCAGGGGAAGAGAAGCTGGTGGCTGCGGGGCACGTGCGGCCGGAGAGCAGGGCCCACCTTGAAAACGGCAGTGACCAAGACGAGGCTCAGGACCGGGCTGTGAGCCTCTCCCTCGAGTCCACGGCTCAGCTCACCTGTGACCACCCGGAGGCCGGCACAGAGCCGACCAATAAACGGGAGTGATGTGCGGACACGTCAACACACGCTTATTGATGAGTTCTGCTATTGTACGTGGGACAAGGCAGCGAAAAGCTAAGGCCACACCGCACCTGCTCAGCGCCAGGCACCGGCCGGCTCTCCAAGGCCCCGGAGGGAGACGGTCCTGAGCCTGTAGCATGGCCCGCATCTATGGCAACATTTCCTCGCCCTCCCTCCCTGCCACCTTCCTTCCCTGCCTCCCTCCCTTCCTGCCACCTTCCCTTCCCACCTTCCCACCTTCCCACCTTCCTTCCCTCCCTCCCACATCTGCCTCCTATGGTGCCGCTCAGCATGTGTGCCCCGGGAACGAGGACTCCCTGGGAACTGACAGCGCTCCACACCTGGACTTACCCAAGGCTCGTGCTCTAACGTGTTCTCCTCAGTCAGTGCTTAGGGAGTGCGAACGTTTAATTATGACGGGACATGGACCCTGAAGGAGAAACTGCCTACGGGTGTCAAACGCCTACGTGTCCAAATGCAGATTAAGATGGACAACTTGTCAGAAACAAGGACAGGAGAGATGGGATGGAGCTGTCATCACGTGTCGGCCGATGTCCGACAGCGACCGCTCCCTGGGGCGCACACTCACCGAGCCGTTCACGCAGGGGGCGTCGTCGTAGTGCAGCGCCGTCCCGCTGGGGTGGGCATAGCCGTTGGGGGTGCCCCCGAGGTAGGGGTTGGTGGAGATGACACGTCTGTTCATGAAGCTGAAAGACAGGACGTGAGGTAACTCCTCCTGCCGGGCAGCAAGTCTGGCCTGAGCCCTGACCTGATGCTCGGCCCATCAGAGGCTGTGCAGGGAGCCTCAGTGCCGGGAGGCACTGGAGCCACAGCCGCACGCCCCACCTAGAGAACGCGAGGGCAGCACGCCTGCAGGACCGTGCCAGGGGTGGCCGTAATGCATGCTGGTACACCATTCTTATCGTCAGTGGTCTAAAGACCTCTCTGGCCCACTGACTGTTTTTGTAAATAAAGTTTTATTGGGACATGGCCTTGACCCTTCATGTAGGTACCGACAGTGGCTGCTTTCAAGGCTTTACATGCCTCCTTCACGACCCTGTCCTCAAGTCAGGGACCAGACGCTGCAAAACTGAAGTATTTCCCATCCGGCCTGGGCTCTTTAGAGTTTTATGCAACAGCGTTTCTCGAGTTCTCGGTGTCCACTCAGCATCACCGCCCCGGACAGCTCCCCTCCACTCTGCCCCGTCTGGGCTGACGGAGCCCTGACAATGGGCGCCCCCTCTGCTCAGAGAACATCCAAAGCTGCCGCGTGGCCTGGGGGCTCTGGGTGCCGCTTCGTGTCCCCGAAAGTCCCACCGGGCGCCCTGATGGCTGCTCTCACAGGGCCTCCCGCCTCAGGGCCTCCCTCCGCCTGGAGCCCTCTCCAGAGCCCCTCCCTTCCCGAGGAGCCCCCAGCGCCCACACACACCGCCCTCCCTCTGCCTGGAGCCCTCTCCAGAGCCCCTCCCTTCCCGAGGAGCCCCCAGCGCCCACACACACCGCCCTCCCCCCGCACCACTGTCCTCCGGTCCCCTCTCCGTCCCGATCACCGCGGAACACGGAGCTACGCGCTCACTGGCTGCTGTCCCCGCCCGAGTGGATCTTCCCACTGACACCGGCCAGCTTCAGGGCCAACCCTGCTCGTCTGGGGACCGTGGCCCGGAGCGGCTCACAGGGGCGCGGAGTGAGCGAGCAGGAGGGTCACTGTGAAGGGACGCGTGCCTGGGAGGAAACCCCTGAGCTCGCTCTCCTGGCGGGTTAAGCAAACAGGCTGCGTCTTAAGTGACTGTTTTCCAGCGGTATTTCCCGAATTCCTGTGGCACCTGCATGAATAAGGAGAGAGGACCTGCCTGTGCGGGTTTCCAGCAGAGCTGGCGCTCACAGGGGCGAGCGGGGCTGAGGGCTGGGAGCCTAGCAGCTGGCAGGAGGCGTTCAGAGGGAGCTACTGCCCTCTGCTGGGGGCAGGCGGCTGTGCACGCCGCGCTCGGCCCAGCGCACCTGACTCTAATTTATAAAATCACTCCTCTTGCTTTTGTCTGACAAAGAAATGTATGCGGCCCTCTGCATTTAGGGCACATGAAGTGTGCCTAGGAAAGAGAGAAACTTAAACGTTTGAGTCTGCAATGACGGAGTTTTCTGATTTGTTTGTAATATATACCTAAGGGTTTCTCATTTATGACTCGGAGGGTGTGTGGGGTCAGGCAGTAACGGGAATGAGTGAGAAGCCGGGCCCGAGGCCAGTCCTTTCCGTGCCGACCACCGCACAGGGAGCACGTTACACGGATCTGCTAGGTGTCGGCCCTCCCGGTGGGGGACCCCTCACAGCAGGGCCGTCGTGCGTGGTGTGTCTCCGGCTCTTGGCGCTGTGCCTGGCACTCACCGGGGCACAGATGCCAGGGAGGAGCGGGGGCCATGAGGGCCAGGACGGAAGCCGACCCGCCTGGGGGACGCCGGGACATGAGACCGAGACGTCAGACACCAGGACGTCCCGGCTGGAGCAGGTCTTCGCCACACCCACCTCCTCCCACAGCGGGCACTGGGCCCAACCAGTCTGCAGGCCTAAAGGGGACGGGCCGAGGCTCAGCCCTGCGCTGTCTTCCGCCGGCGCCCTGGCTGCTACAGCAGCTCAGCCACACTGAGAAGCAGGAGACCAGAGGCCACGAGCCACGTGCTGAACCCAGAACACGAGTCGCTCACAGGAAACACATTCTGGGGGAAATAACCCGACACAGAAGTTCCTCTCCTCACCACTGCCCAGTGCCCAGGGCAGGCCATCAGGCACTCACACTGTCGTGCAGCCGTCCACCGTCATCTCCAGAACTTTCCATCTTCCCACTGGCACTCGTCCCCATTAACGTACTCCCTCCCTTGCCCGGCCCCGGGACCCACTCTATTTCTGTCCTGACTTTCCCACAGAGCAACGCGAGTGAGAATGAGTGCTTTCTGCTGGGGACCCTCTCGCTTTGCTGGTGATCGCTGGGCAAAGCTGTCCCAGGCTGGCTCCTCACACAGGCTGCTTAGCCCGGACAGAGGCGCCTGACGCCTCATGCGACCAAGCTATCTTCCCTCAGCCCCAGCGTGTCCCGGCCGAGCGGCCAGGGCCCACAGACTTTTATAGGAAAAGTCAGTCTAGTGCAGTGGTTCTCAACCTTGGCTGCACCTTCGAATCACCTGGGAATCTTTAAAATCCTGATTTCTGGGCCTCATCCTCCGATAATTCTGTTTCTTTGTTATGGGGTGGGGCCACAACATTAATAACAAAGAAAAAGAATTTCTGGAGGATGAGGCCCAGAAATCAGGATTTTAAAAAGATTCCCAGGTGACTCTAATGTGCAGCCAAGGTTGAGAACCGCTGGTCTAGTACTTCATCAGAGACATCCCAGCGAGTCCAGCTGTTCTTCCACCGCCAGCGTGGCGGTGCCGAGGCCACGACAGCAGGGCGCCTCTGCCGGTGCCCCGCTGCATCGACACCTCTGATGCCGATGGCGCGACAGCAAGAGGGAAACTTCTGGACTCCGCGAGGGCCCGCACCCCTGGGGCCTGTGGGCGGGGCTTTGAGAACTGCAGCTATAACTGTCTTTGCATCGATACGTTAAAAAAATTCATGGTTCAAAGACCGTTCTTGTATGAACAGCCTTTTTTAAAAAATGACAATTTAGATTGTAAAGGAATGTGATTAATGGCTTCAAAGACAGTCCTCACTACAGCAACGTGTAGAATCACTTCTGATTCTAGATTGTTCCCCCCACACACAGGTCAGCAAAGTACAGCCCACAAGCCGCATCCGGCCCACTGCCTGTGCCTGCAAATCAAGTTTTACGAAACCGTCAGCCCACTCGTTCCTGCCCCTGCAGAGCTGAGAGGACAGGGAACAGTGCACAAAGCCAGATGGTGACTAGCTTGCTTTTTACGGGAAAAGTCGGCCAGCCCTGTTCTGAGAGAAAACACGAGGGTTAGAAGGACAGGGCTTTCACCAACGTCTGGGTGAACATGATGCGAAGGCAGCGTCTTCGCTGTTTTCCCGACAGCCCAGGAAGGGTAAACACTTAGGAAACAGCGCGTTTGCCCGGCGCCCCGCCCGCGGGCCTTACCAGAAGGTCTGCTTGGCCGTCTGGATGATGTTGGCCGACATCTCCACGTCGATGTAGTCGTAGTGCAGGGCGCCGGGGTCTGTGGAGGACCCCGTCTCCGCCAGCAGGACTCCGATCCACCGGCCCATGTCTTCCGAGGACGCCGCCTGTGTGTGAGGGAGGCGCGTGTCACTTGATTAGGGAAGAGTTTCAACAGGTTCAGGGTGTCGGCACAGAGACCACACAGACGGGAGGGCGGGGCCGAGGCTCGTGCGAGTAAGTCGCGGAGGAAGGGGAGGCTGCCGAGCCGCGGGACCCGCTCTGCGTTCAGCCCGAGCCTTGAAGCCGGAATGACTGGACCCAGGACGTGGAAACCTGGGTCCTGCAATGCCGGCCGCTCTGGGGGAAGGGCACCGGGGTAGGACGTGGGACCTGCTGTGCTAGCTAAGGCTCAGCCAAATGAAGTTGCTGACAGCGCCTCGCCAATTTGACAACAAAACCCGGCCCGGAAAAGCAGCGCAGCCTGCGCTGGCCCAGCCCCAGGACGGGGCTGGCTCCCTGCGGGCCTCGGGCTCCCGTGGCCGGGCCGGGAATGCACTTCCTTCCCTTCAGTGGAGGCATGAGCACGTGCTCCCCTCCTGTCGGCTGTGCTGAGGGGGTGCAATCGTGGGCAGTCACCGGGCTGTGGGCGCCGTTTCTCAGGACGTTTACATGCTCCCAACCCTGAATCTGACCTTCATTTGCAATCTGACTACAGCTCAGCCGATGCCCTAACCACTGAGCCCGGCCAGGGCCAAAGGGGAGGGTGGAAGCAGGCGGCTGAGGCTGTTTAAGGGCCTTTCCCTCTCCAGCGAGCCGGCTCCAGAAAGGCAGCCACAGGAATCAGCCGCGCACGGAGCCAGGGCTCCTGGAAACCCAGGTCTCGGTGTCCACGCACGCGGCTCGCTGGCCACGGCGTCTGCACACTCACTCCGCCTGGAGCCGCATGGGCCCTGCAGGACGAGGGAGGACAGCGCCCTCTGGAGGCCGTCACTGCGAGAAGTCCTGCTGGGAACACTGAAGCAAGGCGTGGCGGGGAGGCGACCAGGACTTGCAGGGGCCCAGGCTCCTTGCAGGGCTCAGCAGAAGCGGGCGCAGGGCGCGGCCTCAGGAGAGGCCACCGCGAGGACAGCAGAGACGGACACATGGGCAGAGGGAGAGGGAGAAAGGGCGTGGCACAGCAGGCGCTGCCAGCTCAGCAAGGCGGGGACTCGGACGGGCAGCGGCTTCGGGAAGGAAGGTCGTCCTACCTCCAGCACGGCCACCTCCTGCCCGTTGCGGAGCAGCCGGAAGGTCAGCGGGTGCCTGGAGTCCAGCCCGGGGATCACCTCGCAGCCGCGGAGAGGGATGGACACGAGGTGGGTCTTCAGGTCGGTCCTGTCCTTGTGCAGGATGAGCTTGTTGTCCTTGACCCTGCACCAGCGCTCCCGCCAGCGGTTGTTGGAGAGCACGTTCAGGTGGCCTGTGGCGACAGGCGGCTCAGCTCCGGGAGAGGCACCAGGGCGGACACCCACGGGACGGACCCCCACCGCGTCTCAGGCAAATTCACACACACAGCAGGCCGTCACGGGTGACAGCTGGAGAGCTGTGATTTTGAATCCAGTTGCGGATTCATAATCTTACATTATGATTTTATTCTGTAAAATACTATTTGTACATGACATATGTCTGATACATTTATTCTTTATAAGGAAGAAAGCTCTACTTAAAAGTCCACAGTCAGCCGTGAGGGCTGACCGGCTGAGCAACGGCGTGAGGACCACGAATGCCTGCCTGTGGCTTCGGCCCCATCTGCACATGAACCCTGCCGAGAGCCCACTTTTTGGACACTTGAGAAGTGACCGCCAACTGCAGCCATCGTCCCTCACAGGCCGACAGCCCTGCACGCTTTCAGTTTAAACGCTTAGAGGAAGTCGGGAGACCTTCGTGGGGTCAAACGTGAAGAGCCACAGAGCTCACGTCAAACCCCTGCAGTCTCTTACTAACAAGCAGTGCAAGTGTGAAACAGCTCCCCCGCACACAATCCCCAGCCTCGCTCCCAAGAGCCGCGTGACGAGACCGAGGGGCCGCGACTCGGGGACGACACGCACGGCTCCTGCAGCTCATGGGGCTCAGGGGGCTCCCGGGGCTCCTGTAGCTCACACGGCTGGGGGCTCCCGGGCTCCTACAGCTCACGGGGCTCAGGGGGCTCCCGGGCTCCTGCAGCTCATGGGGCTCAGGGGGCTCCCGGCTCCTGCAGCTCACACGGCTGGGGGCTCCCGGGCTCCTGCAGCTCACAGGGCTCAGGGGGCTCCCGGGCTCCTGCAGCTCATGGGGCTCAGGGGGCTCCCGGGCTCCTGCAGCTCATGGGGCTCAGGGGGCTCCCAGCTCCTGCAGCTCACACGGCTCAGGGGGCTCCTGGGGCTCCTGCAGCTCACACGGCTCAGGGGGCTCCCGGGGCTCCTGCAGCTCACGGGGCTCGGGGCTGTCTTACCGCAGGTGGGCACGTCCTCCTCGGCGGAGGAGGTCTGCTCGTCGGTCGACGGCTTTTTCTTTCCTAAACCGATGATCTTGGTGATTTTCTTCCCAGTGACTTTAGATACAGTCCCCTTGCCCTCTGATTTGGAACTTTTTTTCCTCTTGACTGTCAAAAATAACGACAACACAAAAGCATGTTAAGTTATAGACCTTACCCTGAAAGACAGTGAAACACAGCATACGCCATAGCCATTGACTTGCCCCCGGTCTTACTCATGGAGCACCCGCTGCAGGCCACCGTCGGGGCCTGGCTTACACCATCGGAGTGCGGGCTCAGTGAGGCACCAGTGAGTCACACCGATGAACTCCTCCCGTGTGCCCTGCTCGCTGGGACACGCGAAGCTGCCACGGGACTGCTGTCAAGACCTCAGCGCCCCGTGCTCGATCGGCGGCGGCACCAGCAGGGTAGTCACGAATCACCCAGAATCGCGGTGCACTGGCGCGTTACGCGGGGCATATCCTTCCCCTTGAACGCAGGAGCAGGAGCGACAGTCACCCCGTGGCTGGACGGCAGGGGCTGGCCTGCTGCCATGCGATCGAGGGGTAACGGAGAGGAGCTGTCTGCGTCGCGGCTTCCTCGGCAGCCAGCATCTGTCTGGTCACGAAGGGCTGAACGAAGGGACCTGACTGAACCTCAGCGCACACAGTCCAGAGTGAGCCGCCGAGCGGAAGGGAGGAGAGAAGGTCAAGTGCAGCTTAACCATTAAATTCCTGCAGGACCTACTCACTGAGTGTCTGCAATATACAAAGCAACGCGACAGGCAAAACAGTGTTTAAACCAACGGCACCTTTTCAAAATATGGAAGGCTGCTCTGCTTTAAAAAGCCCAGGGGAATGCTGGGTAGGGATACATTCACTCCCACGCACAGCGAGACGCACTCGCTCCGCAGAGGCTACTGTGAGGGACCTGGGAGAAGAAGCCGCGGCGTGGGCTGCCTGGGCATCCAGGCGGGAACCTGAGATTGTACGTTGGTCTCCTCCAGGGCAAACCTCAAAGATAGGTTTCCCGGCTGTGATTACACATAATGTGGCCTGTGGACGACAGAATGCCTCCCACCGAGTAACTTCCGACGCAGAGGACGAAAATTACACCCAGTTGCGTCTGGCAGAAAATCACACGGCAGAGCAGAGGCCATGCCTCCGACTGACCCTGGTCATATCACCACAGCCCAGAAGACTGGGTTCCAAGACCCAGCGGCCGGCTTGCTGTCTGGTTGCAGGTGACGGCATCTGCCTCTAGCGGCGGGTGCAGGGGGGCAGTGGGCAGAGGCTCCCCTGGGAGCCAGGTCCCGGGGCAGGCAGAGGCTGCAGGCTTCCACGGGGAAGACTCCCTGCCCCACAGACCCCCTCCTCTCAGCCCAGCCCCCACGCTGGGGAGGACACCACGTAGTGGAAAGGGCTTGTCTTCAGAAGCTCTAAGGAGCTCTCAGACCTCAGTCACAAGAACAAACAACTCAATGAAAATATGGGCAGAGGATGTGAATAGACTTTTCACCAAAGAGGACGCCTGGATGGCAAACAAGCTCGTTAGACTTGGTCAGCGTTGTTGGTCATGGGCAGAGGCACGGTAAAGCCGGCTGCACAGCTATTCAAATGGCCAACGCAGAGACCAGCACGACAGAGCGCCACCAAGGCTGGTGAGCGGCACGTGGCCAAGCACCCTGCTCCCAGGTATTAACTGGGAGAAAGGAAAACGTGTCCACAGCAGCTTCGCTCCCATGGCGCCGAGCTGCCAGCAACCAGCCCTCTCCCGTGGGTGCGGGTGAGCCGGCCGTGCCGCGTCTGCGCTGACCTCCTGCTCGGACCCTGAGCCCCTGCATGCGGGGCTCCCCAATGCCTGAGGCTGAGTCAGAGAAGCCAGACCGAAAGGCTCGGCTGTGGACTCCACGCACAGGACGTGCTGGGGAAGGACAGAACACAGACCTGCAGCTGCCAGGAGCAGGGGCTGGGGGGACAGAGGAGCACAGGGACACCTGGGGTCAAAACTGCTCCATGTCTCGACGGTGCGGATGGTGACCCACCAGTATGTGTTCATCAAAACGCAAAGAACTGTATGCCCACAAGGTGCCGTCACCGCGTGTGACGCACACGCCACAGGGCCGGCTTCAGCATCTGCACCCCCGGTTCACACAGCATCATCCGCAGCAGCCAAGGGTGGGAACACAGATGCCCCTCCACAGATGAATGACGGCAGAATGTGGTGCGTAGCACAACGGACTATTGCTCAGCCCAGAGAGGAAGGGGATCCTGACACCGGCTACCTGGGCGGACCTGAGGGCATCGCGGTGAGCAAGGTGAGCCAGCCACAGGGCAAGCTCTGTGGTTCCATGATGCGAGGTCCCTAAGGAGTCAGACCCACAGGGACAGCGGGCGCCCCAGGCACCGTGGGAGTGGCTGCAGGCCTGGAGAACGGGGAGGGCGGGAGTGTTTAATGGGGACAGTTGCAGTCTGGGAAGATGGAAGGTTCTGGAGAGGATGGTGAGCCGGTGGCACAGCAATGCGAATGTGCCTAAGCCACTGGACTGGGCACTTAACAATGGTCAGGGGGTAAATTTTTGTTATGTGTATTTTACCACAATTTAAAATCATTTCTTTAAATGCAAGTAAAATACATCTGCAGAAATTTTTTTTAAAAGGGACTTCAGAAACCTGCACATCTGGTCCCCTCATTTGAAAGATGGGGAGCGGAACTCATCAGGGAAACGGTCCCGATGGGGCCGAGGCCACCACGGGGTGGGCACGTGGCTCCGCTCAGCACCCAAAGCCCTTCCTGGAGGATCACTTCCCGGGACAAACCACGTGAGGAAATGCCTGCTGAGCCACCAATTTAAACTCCCGCCGGGCACCGTCGGGCCACAGGAACCCTGGCCCGGCCGCAGGCACCGGAGCCTCAGAGGGCTCCTGCTCCCCAGAGGGCCTTCTAGGATTGGTCGGTGCGACCAGGACGGTGACAGGCGCGTGACCGAACCTCCAAGGAGACGTGCCCGCAGCCAGAGTCCGCAGAACGGGCCGCAGTGTTTTGAATTCTGGTTTCTGTTTCGGGCAGAACTCACCTTGTTCTTTCCCGTTACACACGGCGACTCCATTCTCCACGACACCCTCCCCGTCCGAGCTTGGTCTCTCCGAGGACAGTTTCTGCAAGGAAGAGGAGGACGGGGTTATTCTCACAATGTCGCATGGGCCAAGTGACGTCATGGATCGATCCAAAGTGATCTCAGAGCGGAAAGAACGTGGGCCGGATTCCCAGCGATCCAGGACAGCTAGGGCTCAACGGCCGCACGGACCAGCTGGGTGCCTGTTATCAAAAGCTTGACAGACACCAAAAGAGCAAAGAGAAAAGCCACCGAGGTAACCAGCACGTGCTACAGTGCCTGACATTCATTCACCTCCCTCTCTCTCAGTAATTAAAAAAAGTTAGGGCTACAGAAAACTCCCCTCACCAAACCAATTATGCTTCCAGAAATAAACACTGCCTCGCCCATTTAATTTCCTCCCGTGAATAATGGGCAAGTGTCAAGTGTCTGTGACAAATATGCTCAGAGGATGCACAGTCGGGCGCTGTCAAACCCTCAGGGGCACCGGAGGACTTGCCCGGTGGGTCCAGCACCTGACGTCAGGGCACAGTCAGGACTGTCACTTGGCATCTGAAGCAGAGGCACGTGGGGGCGGCAGGAGAGGGTCAGGGGACATGGTGACGGAAGGAGACGGGGCTCCGGGTGGTGAGCACACAATACAACATGCAGATGATGCATATAGAGTTGTACGCCTAGAACCTATACGATTGTATTAACCAATGTCACCCCAATAAATTCAATAGAAATTTAAAAAGCAGCAGCACTGTTGAGAGCTGGAACCCCTGCATTCCAACCGGAGGAGCTGTGGAGTCACAGCGGGGGAGGCTTCAGCCCTCCCCGATCCCCTGCACTGTCCCCCATGCCACAGAGACTGCCAGCCACAGGCGGATGCCGGGGCACGGCACGCGCACGCCACCTCAGGAGAGGGCCGGGCTGCGCTGGCCCAGGACGGCAGACGGTGTCAGCATCGCGCCGCGGTGCTGTGACAGCCACGGGAAGGAGCCAGTGGTATCCTGTGGGAACCTGGTGTGTGCCGACCGCCAGTGACAGGGCGGATGAGAGCTGGCGCTGCCCAGCTCCCAGGCCGGGAAGTGCTCCTGGGAACCAGGTCAGCAGGTCTGGGCGGGCACAGCACAGCCTCAGAAACCACGCTAAGTGAAGGGTGCCACCGGTCCCGTGGGAGTGGGTGAGAGAGAAACCCTGATGCACGCTGATGGGAAGTGAAACCGGACCAGCCTTTCTGGATGGCTATTCGCTTAGCAACACGAGTCAAATCTTAAAATCAATCCTCCCCTTTGGTCTGGTAGCCTAGCTTCTAGGGGTCTATTTTCAGGTAACAGAGCAGCAGCAAAGACTTACAAAACGATGCCAGTTATTTTAAATGGCCAACAATAAGGAGTTAAATTTGAAAGGGGGGGGCGTAATATGATAGTAGAGTCATATGATTTCATATTATTCAGCTGCTAAAAGTGCAAAAACGGTTGTTGCTTGTTATTAGTTTTCAAAAGCCTGGAAAATTGGTAATAACATAAAGGTAAGGAAAAAAAGGACAGCATAACATGTTTATGCATCAGAATATCTAAACTATAAAAGAAACACGTGAGCAGGAAAAGCTGGTTAAAAAAATGCCATGTTGAGAGGAGCTGCATCCCCTGTGTGGTGGGTTCATGGGTGACCATATCCCTGCTATTTGTGTTTCTCTGAACTGCTTGAATTTTCCATAGCAAGCAGGATGAGGGCTGTGATAGGGTTAATTTTGTGTGTCAACTTGGAGGGTGTTTTTGGATGAGACTGATTTGTTGTTTTTGTTAATCCTCACCCCAGAATATTTTTTTCCATTGATTTTAAAGCAAGTGGAAGGGAGGGAGGGAGAGGGAGAGAAATAGAGAAACATCGACATGAGAGAGACACATCCATCGGTTGCCCTCTGGATGCACCCCAATAGGGCCAGGGACTAAATCTGCCACTCAGGTATGTGTCCTTGACTGGGACTCAAATCCGTGACCCATCAGTATGCAGACCAACACTAACCACTTAGCTTACCAGCCAGGGCTAACATTTAAATCCGTGAACGCTGAGTAACGCAGATGGTGCTCCCTACTGTGGGGGCCTCACCTCGTTGGCTGAAGGCCTGCATACCACTAAAAGGCCAGTCTCCTGAGCAAGGGAGAATTCTGCCAATGGCCTTCAGACTTCACCTGCTGGCCTACGCAGCAGACTTTGAACTTGCCATCCTCCATAATCACATGAGCCAATTCCTCACGATAAATCTTACACATAAAAAAGTCCTTACGTGAATCATATATAAATACACACACATGCACACATACATAAGTACAAACACGTACATGCACACACACACCACTAGTTGTTTCCTGGAGAACCCTGACTAAGTAAGAAGGGACACGAAGGCTCTGTTCACGCAGGGGCTACACAGGGAGGCCTCGGAGAGTCCCTGGGCCACAGCCACCTACAGGAGCTGCGTGCAGGAAGCCCGGGGTCTCCATGGAGACGAGATCTGTGTAGGGACAATCAGAGCGAGCTGGGTGTGTGGCATGACAGTGACAGGTTCACACGTTTCTGACAAGAAGGGCTGGCCCTGCCCCGCTGCGGGGCCGTCACTGGGCCCTTCTACAAGGAACATGGGCACAGAGCGGAGGCCACAGGGAACGCAGCCTGGCCTACTGGGATACAGCTTGGGGAGGGGCACTCGGGCAGTGCCTGCTGTATTCCGGGATACAGACCTGAGTTCAGATTCCACGCTGCCACGTGACAGCCGGGTGACCTTGAACAAGGCCCTAACAGCTCCCACCCACTTCTTCACCGCGCAGCCTGTGAACGGCCAGCTCCAGCCTCGCGTGTGGGCACTGGAAACGCACAGGAAGCAGGACTGCGGTCCCTCCTCTTTCCCAGCTGGAGTGTGGAAACGCGCAGGGGTGGGCTGGGCCTGTGAGGAGGCCCACCCTCCGAAGCAGCACACGCCCCTTACCTTCTCCAGCTCCGCCTTGTGCACCGGGGAGCCTGGCGGCGGGGGACACTCGGCGTCCACGGGCCCACTGCAGCCGCTGTAGACCTCTCGGATCACCTGCAAAGAGCGCGGACATGTTGAGTGCATCCAAGCACAGAGACACTCCCACGAGGGGAGGAAGCCTGAGAGGAACAGAGGCACGTGGTGTGGCCGGAAACCCGCAGGTCACAGCACCTGTTTCAGCTCCAGGCCGCCAGGCCGCCCTCTGTTCATTCAGTCGCCCATTCACTGACGGTCTACCCACCCCAGTGCTGACCTAGGTCCTGGATACAGGGAGCATGTACGCGAAGGTTCCGCCCTCATGGGGCTTCCGCTCCAGGAAGAGTGAGGTGCCATCGTGAACAACGAGCGTCACCAGAAAACGCAGGCGATGAGACAGCGGCGGGGGCGGCGAAGAGCAGAGTGGCCTTTAGCCGCCGGCGCGGCTGACTCAGAGCAAGAGGCCGAGAGAGGCCTTGCTGGGAGGACACTAAGCTGCGTCCCCAGCCCCCCTGCAGTCGCAGGGTCCCCTCCATGGGCCTGAGCAGCCCCGGGGCGGGGTGGGGCAGGGCTCTGACCGCTGGGGGTGAGCAGTAAATGAGATCAGTCCTGGGGAGACAGAGCGCACATTCTTCCCACAGAAAAGTGAGCAGGCGAGTCTTTCAAAATGTCCCTGTTCCTTTTGGAACTAAGCTGCAACTTGAGTTCAACCCAAGTGCCTCTGGACGGAAAAGCAACGCCCACGTCCGGAGAGCCGTGCAGCCCTCAGGGCGTCTCCGCGCCACGGGCTGCGCTGCTGGGACCGCGGCCAGGGACCCACAGGCCAGGACAGTTTCCAGCCATTTTGCTGCTCAGCTGTTCTATGAAAAAAAAAGAAGAAAAAACACTACAAAAAAAGGAGCAATGTCCACATTTGAGACCAAACCAGGAAAAAGAGAAAGCAAAGGCCCCGAGAGCCTGCGCGGGGTCTGTCCTGTGGAAGCTGCGAGCGACGTACGTCACCCAGCGCGGCGCCTGCCACGTGTCTGGAAGGGGAAACGGGCGGCTCTCTTTCTCTTTCTCTTTCTCTTTCTCTTTCTCTTTCTCTTTCTCTTTCTCTTTCTCTTTCTCTTTCTCGCTGATTTCACCACTTTTCCTAGGTCTTGGTTTCCTCACCTCCCCAATGCGCTCACCAAGCCTTTAGTTCAGAAGGCAAAGCTTCATGCAATCTAAAAACAAGATGTTGTCTTTTCTCCAGGGCAGCGCTTCTCAAACTTTTTCATCTCGTGGCGCACATAGAGGAATTACTAAAATTCTGCAGACACCAAACGGCAGACTATATTTTTTGCCCATCTGACAAAAAAATAGGTGTAATTCTGATTCATTCACCCTGGGCGGCTATCGCCGTGTTGGCTGTTGTGTTTTTATGACGATCGAGGGGAAAGGCGGGGCCTGACTGAGTGGTCCACATGGCCCCGGAGTAACGGCTGCTCTGGGGAAAGAGTAGCTTACAACGGGGACTCCTGGGCGCTTGTCACAGACACGGGGGTCAAGCCCCAAATCTGCCACTTCCTCCATACGTGGGGCTGAGCAATCTGGACTTTGGGCCTAACCTCCTCCTCCAGGAGGAGCACAGACCCCTGGGGCCCTGTGACAAGATAAAGCGCCGCAGGGCCGGGCGCCCCGGAACCTGAGCTCTCCCCGTCACAGCACTAGTGACCGTGTGCAGTTAGACAAGCCAACAGGAAGGGCACCCGTTGTTCTGCAGGAGAAGGCTGACCCAGAGCCTGCCGCAGAGGCCGGTGTGGCAGAGCCGCCACGCACGCGGCAAGCAGCTGCCTCCCTCTGCCTGTGTCAGGGAAGGCCCACGCGGCTCCCGCCCGCCTCCTGGTGTGGGCCTGTGGGCGTGACCTCGGAGGACAGTGCCCTCTCTCTCAGCGAAGCAGGACCCATCCTTCCACACTCGGCTCAGGTCTCACATGACCAGGAAGCCCGCTCTGCCCGCCCAGGGGGAATACGGTCTGGCTGCTTCTCCACGCGCCACACCAGCCACGCGTCCTCCGCCAGACGCGGCCCGTGCGCAGCCTGTGTAGTCTGTCCTGCTGTAAGCTGTGCTCATTCCCCTGCTCGGGCTGCTCCTCCTTAGGTCGGCTTCCCACGGCCAGCTCTAACGGCAACTAAAGAAAGTATTTAAAGAAACAAGGAGGGGACGGAGAGGCAAACTGGACTTGGAATTCCCTGTGGCAGTGGTCGGCAAACTCATTAGTCAACAGAGCCAAATATCAACAGTACTTCTTCAAAGTAGACTCGCCCAGGCCGAAAACCGACTTCTGCGCATGGGCCACGAAGTTTCAATCGCGCTGTACGTGCGCGTGGTATTTTGTGGAAGAGCCACACTCAAGGGGCCAAAGAGCTGCATGTGGCTCGCGAGCCGCAGTTTGCAAACGAAGGAATGAGTGGAAAGCAGAAGCAGAGACATGCCGTCACCTGGTCGCTAAGTCCGCATGACCAACCTCCCAGTCCTCTGGTTGGGTTTTGGAAATCCTCAGGGAAAAGACTTTTTCAAAAGGGGGGAGGGGCCTGCGGCACCAATACAGCGCCCGCCCCCGCCCCTCCCCCCAGCTGTGCTGTCACTACACAGTGTCACACTTGCTCCAGGTCACGTTCTGTCCCTGCGGCCCTGCCTGCTTCCCAGCCACCGAGCTCACTGACGAAGCCACCTGTCCTGGCTCACCCGCACGTCTGTAAACTCCACACTTGGTCTCCCTCCCTTCCCTGCTGCAGCTTCCTTCCTGTGCAGCACGTGCGCAGTGCCGGCATTCCGTGCACCAGAGACCCAGACAACCTGGGCCACACGGGGGTTATTCGAGGCATCGGGCATCATGAATGATGAACCTTTCCCCAGACTAACCCACGGTTATGCCCCAGGCAGGAGCACCAGTGCCCTCCTTCCTGTTCCATGGGCCAGTGGCCTCCCCCCTGTTCTGTAGGCCAGGGTTCCCCTCCCTGTTCTATGGGCCAGCGCTCTCCCCCCTGTTCTATGGGCCAGCGCTCTCCCGCCCTGTTCTATGGACCAGCGCTCTCCCCCCTGTTCTATGGACCAGCGCTCTCCCCCCTGTTCTATGGACCAGCGCTCTCCCCCCTGTTCTATGGACCAGCGCTCTCCCCCCGTTCTATGGGCCAGGGTTCCCCTCCCTGTTCTATGGGCCAGCACTCTCCCGCCCTGTTCTATGGACCAGCGCTCTCCCCCCGTTCTACGAGCCAGCACTCTCCCGCCCTGTTCTATGGGCCAGAGCTCTCCCCCCTGTTCTATGGGCCAGCGTTCCCCTCCCTGTCCTACGGGCCGGCTGGTGGGAGTACTGCAGGTATTTCATGAAACTGTCTCTCTACTCTGAACTCCACTTACGGCCACACCGCCTGCAGAGTTCATGAAGTACTAAAGGGTTAGCACCCTGTGCTGTGAACAGCTACAAATGAGGTTTTGGTACTGCTGACGTCATTGTAAAGAGCCATGTCCTCTGAGAAGTTCAATATGTATTTAAAAGAATTGAATCCAAATTCAGAATCACAAATCCTTCACAAACCAAATTGTTTTATGTTCTGTGGTATCTCTGTTTGCTTTCAACTTGAGCCCTCGTCTCCAGAAACACAGCCTCTGCACATTTTTAAGGAAACCTGACCACTTGGCTTCTGGGAACGCCGCTCTGTCTTCTAACTGACCCTACAAAACGGCTCATGTTTTTGGCATCTGTACACACACACACACACAAATACACACACACAAACACACACACACACAAACACACACATAGACACACACACACAAACACACACACAGACACACACACACAAACACACACACAAACACACACACACACAGTGAGTCCTGGCAAGAGCTGCTGGTCGTGGAAGTTGCAGACCAAACGGAGAGAAACCAACCTGACACGACTCCGGAAGTGTGTGTCGAGTCACATCCTGGCTAAACAGTCCTCACGCTCTCACCCTGACAAAGGGTTTGCGCCTCACTCAGAAGATACCAAATGGTTACGTTAAAGCCACGTTTCAAAATCTGCAAAGCCTAGAGAGTAAGCTGATGACAATAGGGGGTAACTCGGCTTGTATGGATACGAAAGGGTCACAGCCTACACTTAAGAGTTAACACGACACAAAGCTATTAGAAGGAAACATGGGCAGAAATCTTCAGGGCCTTGGATTAAACAACAGTTTCTTAGCTTTGACATAAAAAGCACTACAAAGGAATGGAATGCTGACACACATGACGACAGGGATGACCCCTGAGAACTCACTGCTAAGTGAACAAGGCCCGTCAGGAGGGACAGGAGTGCGTGTACACAGACGGGAGAACAGCCAGTGGGTGAGGACAGAGGAGTGGTGGCCTGGGGCTGGCGGGCAGTGACTGCTCCGTAGTGAGTATGGATCTTCTCCTGGGGGTGAGGAAACGTTCTGAAACTAGATTAATGGTGATGGTGGCACAGCTGTGAATATTCTAAAAACAACGAGTCATGCTTTAACAGGGCAGACTGTGTGGCGTGCCTCAATAAAGCTGATATTAAAAATTACTGAAATAATGTATTTCCCCAAATACAATGACCAGCATGGTCACCAGGGAACCTGGCACAGCAGACAGGCTACATAAACAAGGACACGCGCAGCGCAGACGGGCGCAGGCCCACCGCCCTCCACCGAACCCAGTCGGAACACCAGGCCCGCTCCGTGCTGGCTGTGCAGGTAAAGGGCTAAGCAAACATTCCTGAAAGAAGCAGCTGGAAAATCTAGAACTAAAAGCTACCATAACCGAAATTAAGGACACGCTGAACAGGGACAAGTTTAATAGAAGATTAGACACAGCTAGAAAGAGAAACAGTGAGCTGGAAAGTAACAAGAAGAAGCTGACCAGACTAAACATTTTTTTAGAAGGGGGATAGGAAATACCAGGAGAAGAGAAGACGGAGGATATAGTGAAAAGGCCTCACAGGTGTTTAAATGCCGTCAGGAGGCAGGGAGGAAATGGGGCCAAGTTATATTTGAAGAGAAATGGCTGAAATTTTTCCTGAAACTTAGAACGATGACAACCCACAGATTTCAGAAGCCCAAGGAGTCCCAAGCAGAATAAACAGAAAAGAATCTGCATCCTGGACCAATACAGTGAAACTAGAACATCCAAGGAAGACGTGCTAGAAGCAGCCTGCAGATGGGCCAGAATGTCCTGAGAAGCGCCACAGTGACCACCCTGAAGTCACCAGGACATCCCACGACCAAGAACCAAACTGTTCGGGTTGACCTGTTTGCGCCTGCCTGAAAAAATACACATTAAAATCGAGCCAGATCTGAGCAGCTGGCGATGCAGCGGCTCAGAAGCCACGCGGACCACTTGCCTTCAGCCACTGCTCGGCCTGCTCCCGGCTCTGCACCGCGAGGACCAGGGGGTCGGTGCCCTGCTGCGTGATCTTCAGCTCGTGCTGCTTCTTCTTGCCGTCCTTCGGGACGTAGGCGATGCTGCAGCCCGGGAGGGGCAGCTCCATCTGCGGCTGCTGGTCCTTGGAGCTCTTGTAGCACTGCACCGACAGAGACACCGCGTCAGGGCACGGCCTCGGGCGGGAAACCCATAAAACATGGCAGAATGAACACAGGAGCGTGGGCGTGGCACCCGGAGGTCTGACCACTAGTGGGGCTGCTCGGCGATTGGAAAAGGGACCTGCAGGCTCCCACCGCCACCTGCTCCACACCCACGCTCACCTCCGTGCATGTGAAAATGCATCTCCCAGGACCTCAGCAAAGTCTACCGACCGTCACTGACACGGCCAGCGGAAACCGAGAGGCCCTGCGCTGACGGCTGGCGATCTAACGGAGCTTCCTCAGTAGGTCCCCTGACTACGATTTAGTAGGTTTGTGGACATGCACAGCCCTGCACACGGTGTCCCTGCCTCACCCCCACCCTCTCTCTGAAAGACAGACAAACGACTTCAGTAAGAGCACAAATATCAACACGTGGTGTACAACGGTGTCTGCACAGGTCGGCCTCCTAACTGAGTAGAGGACCCGCCATCTGGGCCCAGCTCTGTCGCTACTGGAGCTGGGCTCTGGGCGTTCGCTACATTTCCTGAGCCTGTTTCCTCGCTTGTAAAGGGAGTGACTGGTACTGACTGGAGTTACATGAAATGAGTAGTAACGACAACATCTACTCCCAAGTAGCGAGTGTCATCATCACAGGAGGCACCTCCCGCACCTCAGCCTCACAGATGCCTGTTTTGCAGAGTAAGTTAACCTGGTTTAGGACCTTCGTTAAGTAACCTGTAACTTTGGTTACGTAACTTGCCAATGCCAGGTGACCGAACACGTGGCCGACCCAGGACTCCAGCCGCAACCCAGGCGAGTCCTACACTTGCCTCTAGCCATCCCCTGAGGAATGGGTACATGAATGCCTATTTTCAGAAGTAATTATCTACAGTTCCAAAACCATGCCTCTTGAATGACACGTGGATGAAATATATCCACTTTTTAAAATATTTCAAATGATGGCTGCCCTGTCTAAAAAGGAAGAACCGTCCTAGCCAGTTTGGCTCAGTGGATAGAGTGTCAACCTTCGGACTGAAGGGTCCCAGGTTCAATTCCAGTCAAGGGCACATGCCCGGATTGTGGGCTCGATCCCCAGTAGGGGGCATGCAGGAGGCAGCCAATCAATGATTCTCTCTCGTCATTGATGTTTCTCTCTCTCCCTCTCCCTTTCTCTCTGAAATCAATAAAAATATATTTCTTAAAAAGCTTAATAAATAAATAAATAAATAAATAAATAAATAAATAAAAAGGACAGCCAAGCCAATGGACCTCGGATTGCTGTGAAGGTTACATGTCCCCGATTTTTTGCGTTCTGCGTAGGTGGAAGGGAAACTGAGTACAGAAAGGAACCGTTACAGCTCATGGCCTGGCCACGTCCCCAGGGAGCTGATGAGCTGCCTTGGGAGGTCGCTGCGGGGCCCCGGGAAGCTGCTGAGGCAGAGAGCAGCAGGGCATCTACTCGGGTGCCCTAAGAGCAAGGCCGAGGGAAGAAGCCGCAACGCAGCGCACTGCAACTCGGCGGTGGGCCAGGGGCTCGGAGCTGGAAGGTGCCATCGGACGCCCGAGGCCGGGCCTTCACAGCGCCCCTCGCAGTGGATGCAGAGCCGCTGGGAAGGGAGCGTGACGGGGGACGGGCGGTCTGCTGGGCCCCTGCAGTGAGGGGGCAGGTCCTTGCGGCCTGCGGGGCTCTGGGCAGAGGGGAGCGGGCTCCGCCCGGAAGGGCAGAAAGACACTGGCAGTGGCGTGCCTCCCAGGAACACTCAAGGCAGCTTGAGACCAGCTTCCTGTTTCCGCCTCTAGTTGCTGTGCTGCTCGGGCTTGGAAAGCACTGGCCTTGTTGTCCTGCTAATCTTTTCTTCAGTGTCAACAGGGGTCATCTGGGCAGTTGGCTCACAGGCCATTTTTGAACCAAAACAAAATCCCTTTATAATAAAAATCGCTAACTTTGTCTCCGCACGTGAGGACAGGCTTCCATGTGGTTTTCCATTCATTTCTTCTGAGACACTTGCAGCTACTCTAAGTGGTGGGTGCTATCCCCCTGGCTGTGAAGATGGGACTTAGGGCAGGAGATGGAGAATGAAGGGTAAGGAGGGAGGCGTGCGGGCAGCCTGCAGCAGGGGTGCGGCAAGGGTGGCACTCGGACAGGGGACCCCGCGGCAGCAGGCTCCCGCGTGGGTTTCAGAACCGCTTTCACCAGTCTCCTGTGTATTCCGCACCGCCCCCCCCACCCTGTGTATTTTTAAAGCATTGATGTAATATACCCACATCTTGCACCATCATGTCAGATTGTTAATAAGTTCCATATTAATCTCCCTCATCTTTTTTTCATTCTTTACTTTAAAATCCCCCCACGTCATTTTTGGCATGTTCTAAATTTTGGAACTTTTAGGCCACACACGTGGAAAAAACATGTACTCTCTCTGCTTTTTAAAAATAATTGAACAAAACCACTAATTAAAAAATATTCAATGTCCTAAGAATCTAGTGAAATAAGATCCCCATAATTCACAGGTGAATCGATAGAGTTAGCTGCCCACTGCAGGGTGACACACAGAAACATAATTTCTCATGTTCTCTTTTAATGACAGAGTTTGAGTGATTTTTTCTCTCAAGGTTCATTTGAAGGAAAAACAAAAAACAAAAACATGCTCTAAAAATCATAATTCTGTAACACCAAGGGTCCTGAAGCTAGAAGGAGGTGGGAAGCGCGGCAGGAAGGGCGAGGGGCCGCCATGAGCCGTGCTTGCCGCCCGAGCAGGTCCTGCCGGAGCCTCACCCAGCAGAGGGTCTGTGTCCAGGCCCTGCCTCTCCGTCACTTACCCTCGCTTCCTCCTCAGCCTCTCACAGAAAGGAAGGGGGGTGGGGGGGAGAGGGAAGAAAGAAAGAAAGAAAGAAAGAAAGAAAGAAAGAAAGAAAGAAAGAAAGAAAGAAAGAAAGAAAGAAAGAAAGAAAGAAAGAAAGAGAGAGGAAGAAAGAACAAGAAAAAAGCTGGCCTTTAGCTTTCCAAAAGAATTTCCTGTGCTGGCCACGCTCCCTGGACCGGCGCAGGCCGCCCCGCCCCCTCTGGCCTGGCTTTGAGGAATCCACTGACTCATGCGAATGGGAAGACCCATCCTGCAGCTTCTGGCCAGTTCAGCTCTGTGCCTTCCCCTCACACAAACCGCAGACACTGCCGGAGGGGGGCCTGCCCTCTGCCTGCTTTAGGGAGCGGGCGAACCTCCGCATTGAAGACACGGCCTGTCCGCCAGCACCGGGACGGCCTGTCGGGGCGCTGTGAGCTCTCCACCAGCGCCGAGGCCTGTGCGTCCCGCTCCCCTGGGCTGAGGCTAGCGCTGCTGGCATCTGTGCCACCACGGGGGACGCCGAGGAGCCCTCAGCGCCTGCACACAGGGCCGCCCGCAAGGCTTTACCAGTAGTTTGGTGTCTTTGATGACGCAGAGCAACTTGGTCCACTGTCCGAAGCGCTTCTTGCGCAGCAGGAAGGCACAGATCTTGGCGTCCTTCACCAGGTCCATGGAGGCCTCCTCCGAGGGCCACTGGTGGCGCGTCTTCTTCCCCTTGCCATCCTCCTCCTCCTCGTCATACGATTCGTAAGAGCTACTCATCGCATCCGAGTCATAATCTGTCGACAGCAAGAAAGTGAAGACCTCGTTACAGAAACCCTCCCCGGGCTCAGGGGTGCACCCTTCTACCCGCCCGTGAGGACGGGCGTCGGCATCGTGTGCTGGGACATGTTAATGACCATGAGGACACACAGCTCCTCGACCAGGCAGAGGGGCCCAACGGAGAGCTTTAACTAAGGGCTGGGCAGTGTGCAAGGCTGTCAGGGTCCCACGCCGTCCTGTGTCTGTGGGAGCTGGGGGTAATGAAAGGGGGCGGGCGCCTCTGAGGGTCCCCACGCCGTCCTGTGTCTGTGGGAGCTGGGGGTAACGAAGGGGGCGCCTCTGAGGGTCCCCACGCCGTCCTGTGTCTGTGGGAGCTGGGGGTAACGAAGGGGGGGCCTCTGAGGGTCCCCACGCCGTCCTGTGTCTGTGGGAGCTGGGGGTAATGAAAGGGGGCGCCTCTGAGGGTCCCCACGCCGTCCTGTGTCTGTGGGAGCTGGGGGTAACGAAGGGCCTCTGAGGGTCCCCACGCCGTCCTGTGTCTGTGGGAGCTGGGGGTAACGAAGGGGGGCCTCTGAGGGTCCCCAGGCGGCAGCTGAGGAGAGTCCCGCCGAGACAGCTACTCGGCAGAAATGGCCCAGGAAACCGGCCTGCCCAGCAGGAGCCTCGGGGGAGATGCCTGCACCCGGCGCCCCTTGCCCTGCAGACACCAGCCGGCACAGTGAGCGCAGCCTCGTGGGGGCGGGGCGCCCACAAGGACAGGCCCCGAAAGCCCTTCCCTCTGCTCACAGGGAGCGTGTCTCCTCGGACACCTGTTCCACAGCACTGAGCTCTCACTCCTCGGAGTCACAACCCGAGTTCCCGGAGGGGTCGGAGGACACCTGCCCTTCCGCGCCCTCTCTGACCGCCCCCCCGCCCCCCGCACACCCACAGGCCTGGGCCCTGGCTCCTCCACCGTCCGTAGCCCTGGCACTCACTTGACGTGATGTATTCCGGAGCTTTCCCAGGACTCAGCGGCACGGCCTCCTCATAATAACCCTCTGGGAGCGAGGACGTGGGCAGTGGGGGCGGCCCGCTGTCGGGGGGCTGCAAACAGAAGGGACAGGAGCGTCGCTGGGAGAGCGCCCGGGCCCGCAGGCACTGAGGGGCGCTTCCCTTCCCCTGGGAAGTCTCTGGGGAAAGAGCGTCGCCCTATGAAGTCGGGTCTCCATGACACTCCTGCTCACTGGCCCCAGCTGGCCCGGCCACAGGCCCTCACCGGCACAGCCGCCGGCAGGAACCGGGGGTGCAGCCCGTGTCCCGGGAGCGCCTTGCAAACCCAGCTCCGACACCGAGTCCCCTTCCCAAGCGGAACCAGGGGCGCGCCCCCCAGAACTGGCTCAGGTGCCTCTCCTCGATGTCCCCACAGCTGCCCCCACACCGCTGCCCCGCCGAGTCTCCAGCGCTGGCTTCTCCGAGGCCCATCCTGAGCTGGGAGCCCTGGGACGATTGGGGTCTGCCTGGTGCTCATCACAGTCAGCGCCAGGGAAGCAGGGACTGAAGGCGTGAGGAGGCGTGCCCAGCATCGTGCCAGGCTCCCAGCACTGCCGGGACCCTGTTAGAAAGGAAAGGGGGGCCCTCCCTGCCGGTGTGGCTCAGTGGTTGGGTGTCGATCTGTGAACCAGGAGGTCACGATTCGATTCCAGGTTAAGGACACATGCCCAGGCTGAGGGCTCGATCCCCAGTGGGGGGCATACAGGAGGCAGTCGATCAATGATTCTACCTCATCGATGCTTCTATTTCTCTCTCAATTAAAAACAATAACAACAACAAATAATGAAGAAATAAATAAATAACGAGGTCATCACTGCGTAGCACTGGCCTCAGCCACCTGCGACCCAGGCGGGGCAGTGGCCCTGCTTCCGGCAGCTCCCCTCCTGGCGGAGTGACCGTGCGGACGTGAGAGAGAACTGCCCTGTGCCCAACTGCGCTCAGACTCTGAGTGAACATCCAAGTTCCCTGATAAGCACTCGAGAAAGCAGCCAAGGGCAGGAAAGGGGAACACATGGACCTGTGAGGGGGCCCGGCCTGCAAAGGCGGCAAAGAACTCCAGAGCAAGTTTTGAATGTGTACCGTCAGATAAAATATACATTCCAGGAATATGTACGTATTTTTCTTTTAAAGAACTTTTTATCCCAGAAGAAGCATTTCAACGTTTCAGAAAAGGCATTCCAGTGCTGCTCACCCAGAGAGCGAGTCAGGTCCCAGCTCCTGTCGGTATTTTGCCGCTAAGTCCTCTGATTTCCACAGCTGTGTAGCCGCGTTGATTGTCAAAGAAACACCAGCCTCCGGGAAGGCGACCCGCCTCCTCCCTGCTGCTCCTAGCGGCTCCCACACACTCAGGGGTGGCCTCCTTTCCCCCAGAATCAGGCGGCCCCCTCCCCAAACTGGCAGTAGGCCAGGACGACTCACCAGCCAGGGCTGCGGGATCTCCGGCAGAGGCATCTGGGGAGGGGCCGGCAGGCTGCTGGGGGTCTCCTGCTTCGGAGCGTGGTCTCTCACTTCAGAACCTGCGGGGATCAGCCAAACAGAGGCCCGGGTGAGGAGGACGGCTCTCACCTCCTCAGCCCAGTGGACTCTTCACAGACACCGCCCTGCAGGGCAGGGGGATTCTTCTCCATCTTACAGACGAGAACCTCTGGCTGGAAACGGTTAAAGACCCCGCTGCAGCCCTAACAGGAGGAGGCGGTGGGGCCGCAGCAACACCTGTGCTTTCCCTCGGGGCCACGGCCTCTCAGGGACCTGCTCCCTGAGCTCCCCCTCGGCTGCCCCGTGCCCGTGTCCGTGCCCGTGCCCTAAGGGCAGAGGCTCTGGGAACAGCAAGTCTGTAGGAGTCCCTCCTGGACTCAGAGGCTGTAACGGACGCACCTTATTGCTGACATGACGGGCACAGCGTCCTCCCAGGTCCGAGCTGGGAAGGAAGACACATGCGGCCGACTTAGAACGCACGTGAGCACGAGGCAGGGCGGCCAGAAGGAGGAGGAAGGAGTTTCCATTGGGCGCAGCACTCTTTCTAGTCAAGAGCTCGCCTGGGAAGACCTAGGAAGCCACCACTTCCCAGTGATCACCTGGAGTGGCCAGCACGGAGCTACCGGCGGGGACATACAGGGTCAGAGTCCCTGCCCTCAGGCGCTGGCGGAGAACTGGGACAGTAAAGAGGAAAAGAAAGAAAGAGGACAAAAGTAACTGCCAGTGGGTGAGTCTTAGCAAATTAAAGAGCCAAGGAGAGAATCAGTGAAGTGGAAATACCAGAAGAGACAAAGGCCTGGGACTCAGTAGGCAGAGGAAGGGAGGAGGGGTGGCTGCGGGCAGAGGCCCTGCGGGGCAGAGAAAAGGGCTGGCCGAGGAGGCGAGCTGGAGAGAAATGCTCTGAACGTCTCTGTGCAGGCCATTTGGAAATGCGCTATATGATCTCCTTCCGTCCCAACAACCCTCTAGGGGTTCGCAGATGAGGAACCTGAAGCAGAAAGAGTGACTGTGCGAGGTCACATACTTGGCGATGGCCCAGCCAGGAAGCCAAACCCGTCCGTCTGCACTGCATCAGACCCTGAAGCAGCGACCCCTTGCTGAGTCCGGTGCAGTATCAGAGGAGACATTCACCCTTATCCGAAAAGGCACCGCAGACTCACTCTTCCAACCGCACACTGTGGGACCAGCGGAGACACGCACGGAGGAGGCGGGCAGGGAGGCAGCGAGACCCTTTCCACAGTGAGCACTGCCCATGTGCCCCAGGTCCTCTCCTGAGCTCCCTCTCGGGGGCAGGTCCCCACCCACAGGCCTCCCGTGGCCCCCCTTCAATCTGCTACAATTCCCCCGAGGTCCAGAATGCAACCTAGCTGTGTCCTACATGGCTTCAGGCCCTAAAAGCCAACGAGCTGTACCCTCAAAACGGGCTGAGTGTGTGTGCGACAGACCTCAGCAAGCCACGGAGAAGGAACCCTCAGTCTCCTCCAGCTTCCTCCCCGGTCTCCCAGAACCCCCTGGGCCCCCTGCACGGCCCGCCCCCCACACTCTCTCACTGAACGGACCGGATTCCCTCCGAGGGCTCTCCTACTCCCTGGTGTACCGCATGCTGACCAGGCTGCCCCCACCTTCCCCGTCCTACCCTCTGGCACAAGCTGGCCCGAGGCTGCTCTCTCTGAAGGGCCTGCTGGCAGCGATGGCCGTGGCTGGCACCTGGGAGCGTGGATCTCAGAGCTGCCATGGTCCTAATGGCTGGGGTTGGTTCGCTGTGCCTAGACTATGTGTGCAAACACGTGGTTTACACCAAACACCGGCTGTGGTGTGCACCTGACCGGGCAGAGGGATGCAGGGAGCTGGGGGAGCCCTGATTCTGGGTGTGTCTGGGAGGGGCTTCTGGAAGAGACTGGCACTGGAATTGGTGAGCTGAGTGGGCCGGCAGCGCCCATCAGGGAGGGCCCGGATAGCACCAAAGTTGGAGGAGGAGGAGCAGCAGGCTCTCGGCTGGACTGGGACATCCCTCTCCTCCTGCCTCGACACCGGGTCTGGCGCTTTGGACTCAGATCAGGACTCACCCCACCAGCCCCGATTCCAGGCCTCCCGACCGAGCTAACCCACCGCCGCTGTCCTGGTCTCTCCCTACAGCGAGATCGAGGGCCTTCTCAGCCTCCATAGCCACAAAAGCCAGCCCCTAAGTTAATCTCCTCTCTCCTCTCTCTCTCTCCCGCCCTCCCTCTCTCCCATTGGCTCTGGTTCTGTCACCCTAACACACCCTTTTCTGGGATTCTGGGATTTGGGGGCTCACAGGTGGCTGCGCTTGTTCTGCTGAGGGAAGGCCAAGCTCCGTGCGACACTCGGCTCCTCCAGCCCACGCCGCCTTTCCCCTCCACCTGCCTGTGCACCCTCCCTACCCCTGTAATAAACAAATCCTGGGCATGAGAAGGTACCACTCTATGCTGAGTCCGCCCAGTGAATCTCCAAAGGGTGGGGTGCTCTGGGGGCCCCCAACACACCCACTGTTCCTTTAGCTCCTTAAAGGCTAGCACCTGGCATACAGTAAGACCTTCAGTGACAACTTCCTGATTAAACAAACTCGTACGCTACTACACAAAGGACTACGTTTTAGGAAAGGGAGGGGCTCGAGGTGTGCGAGGCCAAGGGGATGGGGAGGGTGTGGGGGGCACGCACCTCTGGAGGCCTGTATCCTGAGCAGGATGTCCGCAATCACGGCCTTCTTCTCCCTGACCGTGGATGTCAGGTATTCGTGGTCCAGGAGTTCAAGAAAGAGACGAAGTTCCACTATTAACTCCTCCATTGCTGAAACAAGGGAGGAAGGTGTCATTAGACGCGCTGATTTGCAAAAGTCTAAATACAAATGCCAATCTGCCTCAAAGCCTTTCGCTTCCGTGCTGGTTGAATACGGCGTTCCCACGTGAACAGGCCTGCTGGAACCAGGCCTCCAACAGCGTCACCCTCTTCCGGACACGCGTGCTACCCCTGCACTTGCTCCAGGCAGCATGCTCGGCTGGGAGGCGCCCAAGCCACGTCGCCCGCAGATGGAGTCAAGCCTGACATCACCACTTGGTGTCATTTGCACCATATTAAATTCCAATGTCAAGAAGGAGACGGAGTTTCAAATGCCAAGCAGTTTTCCAAGAACCACTAGGACCTGGTTTCGGAAACTCACACCCGACTCTGCTTTTGTAGGGCTGGCTCCCCCCACGAAGGCTGTGCACGTGTTTACACGGTTGCCACAGGGATGCGGGAGGCCAGGAGGGCTTCCAGGGCACGGTCAGGCCTGCTTCCCACCGCGTCTTCCTTCTCGGGCTGGGCAGCCCTTCCCTTGATGTCCACAGACGTGGCGATGTCAGCACGTTTTAAATCATCAGAAAGATTTAAATCATCAGCAAGTTTTTTGTTTGTTTTTGTTAATCCTCACCCGAGGATACTTTTCCATTGATTTTTTAAGAGAGTGGAAGGGAGAGGGAGAGACAAAGAGAGAAACACTGATGTGAGAGAGACACATCGATTGGTTGCCTCCCACTCGTGCCCTAGCCAGAACCAGGGACCAAGCCTGAAACTGAGGTACGTGCCCTTGACCGGAATCGAACCCGGGACCCTTTAGTCCTCGGGCTGACACTCTATTCACTGCGCCACACTGGCTAGGGTATCAGCAAGTTTCAAGTCATGCCTCTAACCTCTGCCGGACTCCTTTTAGGATCGAGCTGCTCTCATCACATTAAGGCGCTATTTGCCTTTTTCTGCACTCCCGGTGCAAACGCGAGGGTGGCCTCTTAGTCAAAGCAGCGACCCCACATGTACCGGTGGTCACTGTACCTCACCACACACCTGCGGCTCCAAAACCAAACCAACGCTTTCGCTCGGAAGTGTCTGATGACTCTGATGAAGCAGGAAACCCACTGCTTTTATTCCATCTCCAAACCCTCGAGGACACACTTCTTTAATGCCCGGGGCGGGGGGGGGGGGGCACTTCTCAGCCTGAGGCAGCCTGGTGGTTTTCTGATTCGTGTCATGCAGCGGCCAGCACTGGGACGGTCGGCACCGCTCAGTGAGCCACGACGCCACACGGCCACGCGCGGGTGGGACCCCTTCACGTGCATCAGGCAAAGTGCTCTAACACAGCAGAATGCAGTGTCTTTTAAAAATATATTTTTATTCATTTCAGAGAGGGAGGAAGGGAGAGGGAGAGAGAGACAGAAACATAAATGATGAGAGAGAATCATGGACCGGCTGCCTCCTGCACGCCCCCTACTGGGGATTGAGCCTGCAACCCAGGCATGTAGCCTGACCAGGATGGAACCGTGACCTCCTGGTTCATAGGTCGATGCTCACCCACTGAGCCGCCCGGCCGGGCTGAAGTGCTCCTTTCGCTATTGCTCTGGAGTCCACACTGCAGCTCACCTTAAGGAACTAGCACTTGTCAAGTTTGGGTGTAGAATCAAAGAAAATGACCTATGATTTTCTGAAAAGGCCCTAAGATACTCGTCTTTCCAACCACATGTCTGCGGGGGCCAGCTTTGCTCATGTGCTTCCACCAGAACCAGGTCTCGGAGCGCTCGGCACGCAGACGCAGGGGCGAGAGCCGCTCGCCTCCGGGAGGCCGGCCTGCGTCCGGGACCTCCGCCGAAGCAGCCGCAGTGCGCTCTCAGCCACCTCGTAGCGGAGTACGGCCTCTGCTCAGAAATACACATCATCTCTTATATGAATCGCTAACAAGTCTGCCAGCTCTGAGTTCCGGTACGGCGAGTGCCTGTGATGTCCCCACACAAACACAGCTCCTTGGGGTCTTCACTCCGTATTTTAAGACCAAAAGTCCTAAGCAAACAGTCCGGGAACTGCCGGTTGAGGGGATTCCTTCCCAGCCTGCTCTTCCTCCGGCTACCGCACCCTCCGCAGCTGAAGACCCTGACGGAGGCGCGGGCACAACCGCCGACGGGCACACAGCGTCCGTGCGCGCTGGGCCTCAGAGCCAGGGCACACAGCCTCGTCCTTAGAGCAGGACAACCTGTCGTCATGGGAAAAATAAATGAAACTGAACACGTACCTTAGATCATATACCAGAAAGAGCTATAAAGACACGAGAATCAAAATGTTAAAGTGCAAGCATTAAGTCCTTGCGGAGAGGAGGTGCCTTCTTTTATAACCTTGGTGTGGGGGAAAGATCGTCCAACTTCGACTCAGACTCAGATGTAAACGGAAAGGACGGATGGAGGAGACGAAGAGAAACAAAAGCCTGCGGCCCTGGAGAGGGAGGCCGAGTGGTGGCCCGCACGCCCCCGGTTCCACGCGTCCCGGGACCTGGGGAGCCGCCCTTCGCTGCTGGCCCGCCGGCCGCCGCCACGGCTCCTGCTGCCGTCTCAGAGGCGGGGCCCGGGCACCGGCTTCACAAAGCCCCTCTCCCGTCCCTCAGTGAGGACCCGGGGCCACCTCTGAGGCCCCAGTGAAGAAGTCGTCTGTGACACCTGGCTGGCCCAGGACCAGCCTGCTTCCCTGACCCCGCCCTGTCCCCGATCTCCTCTTTGCAATGCCTTCCCCGACCTGTACCGGGCTCCCCGCCGCTGCCTCCTCGTCCAGCCCATCTCCTTCCCCTCCCACCCGCGCGTCCCTCTCAGCTCGTCTGAATGAGGCAGTTTCCCCGCACGCATCGGGCTGCTTCCCACGATGACCTCGGCGTTCCCTGCTGCTCTCTGCGGGTGCACCCTCACCTGTGCCTCCCTGGCTGGTCCCCCCCACACACCCCAACTCGCCTGTACCCGTCCACGCTCAGCTCGGCTACCAGCACCTCGGCCCACCTTCGTCAGCCTCACCACGCTGTGACTGCGGTGACTCTTGTCTCCTCCCCCGTCTGGGGCAGCCTGGTCAGGGGCCTCCGTGTGACCTCCCTCTGCACCGAGAGGGCCTAGCACGAGGCCTGCCAGGGAAGCTAGCCCCCCACAGACACGCGGTACGTGCCTGTGGGTTCCCTCGCGGCTTGTTCCCAGATCTCCGTAACAGACCAGAGTCCTGGGATGTGTTTGGAAGAGAACGGTGCAGAGAGAAATTCCAGAGCCCGTCCTCAATAGCAACTGCTCCGTGTGACATTCTTAGAGCACAGACAGCCCCGGGCGGGGCGCTCTGACAGTTCATCTCTCAAGCTGGCTGGTGGCACCTGGGCAGGCCTCTCTGCTGAGGCAGGCGCCAGCGGGAGCACTCGGAGGGGCTCAGTGAGGGACACGACTCGTGCGGCAGGGAGCACGGAACTGCCACACGGCAAGGCCCCAACATACTTTCCCTTATAGGGTTACGGCCGGGAGGTAGGCCGACTCCCAAACACTTCCCAGCCTCCGCGCATAGCTGGCTGGGCTGCCTCAGAACAGGCGGCGGGTGCTCTCTGGGAGGGAAGACTGGGGACCCCAGGTGGCCCTGAGTGAGTGACTGAGGCTGAGGACAGGGCCCTGGGCCACAGCGCGGGGATGACAGTCTGTGCAGGCAGCCGCTGGGGAGACCGACCGTGGGCTGGCTGCATTGGAATCGGAGGGGAGAGAGCAAGGCCTCTCCTTGTCGCTCTCCTGTCAGCAGGACGGACAGCCACCGCTCAGCCTCAGCACTGACTCCACCACATCCACCACGTCCCAGCGGAAAGCCCACGTCTATTCTGAGTCCTGAGAATCTGCCGTTCCGGCTGCTTAGAGGCAGAAAGGAGTCCCCAAGGACTTGCTGTGAAAATCCACAGAGCACATTCTTGGGGGAAGATATCATGATTTGTACAAGTCAGATTAATATGTGGACGGATGATTCAAGCCCTAACAGAAAACATCCCTCCATTGTTGTGTGAAAAGCAAGAGATGAAACCCAGACCCACACATGCTTTTCCTGGTCATGATGTACGTACCCCGACCGCACCCCAGGGCCCCGTTTCTCGCTTCGGAAGCCTGATTCCTGGGCTGCAGATCAGGACCCCGCACTCCCAGGGGAGGCGAGGGAGGGAGGAGGGAGGAAGGAGGTCCGGGTCACTAGGGTTCCCGGCCAGGCTGTAAAATCCATTCCCAGGAGCTGACACAATACATGTTTCCTCGCACACACTTCCGACGAGATGGCACGCACCTCCCAGCCACTCCTGTGTGTGATCAAAAGCCAAGCCTACGCCATCCAAGTTGTAGCTTAGCCTCTGGGGGGAGTACAGGGGAGCGGTTCCAGGACACGGGACAGGACTGGAGATGCTGGCCTTTCCCACTGAGCGAACCTCAACCCCCGGCCACCCCCAGACTGTTTCCTACAGCAGCTCGGAGAGGGCATTTGCTCGGCCTCCCACAGTCCCTACCGGCCTCCCACAGTCCCTACCGTAACAGTGCGTTTTGGATGCCCCTGACCCCGGGCAGTGGGGCTGACCCTGTGGACCAGCAGTCAGGAGGGGTGGGAGGAGGGCCCACGGGAGAATGGGGTGAAAATACCCTCCTCCAGACACGTGGGCAGCAGGAGGAGGCCTGATACAGATGACACGATGCCTCCACCACTGGAGCTTTCAGCGCCACCGTCACTAACATCTCAGGAAAAGGAGGGTCTCCAGGTCGCCGCAGGGCAGGCCTGCAGTCCAGCCCCGGAACTGGTCCCGCACTTGCTCACCGCACAGTGGGGGCCTGACGGCCCTTCCCGTCAGGAACATGACTCAGCTACGGTTCTTAGAGATGCCGCCGCCCAGCTCCACAGCTGTGCTCTTACACTCTCACTGTGGAAACGCGGACGGGACAGGGTTTTAAACGCTTCCTTTCTGTCCTCCATGCCCGAAACCAGTGCCTCTCAGCTTCCCCGGGGGCACT